TAAGAAAATCAATTACTAGGTCCTGAGACACATTGTTTTTTTTTTTTTTATACAAACATTGCATGTTCGTTTAAAGAGGATCTGCTTAAAGAATGATCGGCATTTTCTTGAGTGATAATTAAAGAGAGGATTCTACAACTCAGTTGACAGGATATTAGATTTATTTTAACTAGATTAGTTGGTAGTTTGTTTATGCAGATCATTTTACTTTTAGTTGTTTATTTTCACAGTCGTTGCATGAAGAACTACTGAAATTATTTTCAGATTAAACATAAATAGATTAATCAGTGGCGGTTCTAGATCAAATGTGATACAGGGCGAGGAGGGGGCCCGCATGTTTTCATGGGGGCACAGAAAAGCATCAAATAAAAATCACGGCAAGGGATTCAAATATATTATTATAAGATAGCTGCATGAAGTAAAATTTCTATTCAGTTAGGTTTAATTAAAATGTATGTCTTTTTAGGCCAATATACATCATTTAGGAATTTTACATATTTTTGACCTAATTTAAGTTAAAATTACTGTTTTCTATAAAATCGGAATTAGAACTCAAGAAAAAAATGATAAATTCAGCTGTAAAAATTAGAGTATTTTTAGATTTGTTTTGAAAAAAACATTTAGCAGATGAAAACTAGGAAGCTATCTCAATTCCACTGAAGCTATAACCTTATTGTTTTTAAATAAAAAAAAAAAAACAACTAAATAAATAGATCCAAAGGACCTGTCAGTAACCATGTCTGTTCCAGTGCATATCATCATTAGAATTTCTTTTAGTAGTATGTCTTCAGCACAGGGGCCATAAGTGGGGTCAGGACATTTTCTACAGGGGCATTGGCCCCCATTGGCCCCTGTCTAGAACCGCCCATGAGAATAAATAATTCAGTGGGGGGGAAAGCACTTACCTTGGGACATATTGATAACTTCTGAAGCCATTCTATGATAACAGCTAATAACGACCATTTATTGGGATGATAACTTTCGAAGCGGCTGCAAACATCCACTTAGAATTTACTGTGTAAAAGAAGACAGAATCAAACTGAAGAACCTCAAGAGACGATGAGATTCCATCTATTAGAACAACTTTTTTAGACTCCTCACCTGCTGCCAGATGATTGACCCTAAATAGATATATTGATCCACCAGCATTCAAGAAATAAACCCGTAATGCTATCGTGGTCACAATAGTTTATGGCAAGCCCATTTGATATGTATTAGTATTGCTGAGTATTCCTGATATCTGAAATAAAAATACGTCTTTTCCTTGTCCGAATGACAATTTCAAACAAAACAACATTCTTCACATCTAGAATAAATATTCTAGATGTCTAGAATTAATTATAGATCTATATATTCCTATTGTTACTGGTTTTCATTTGTATGCAGGTGAAGATCCTTAGTCATTCAGGACATAGTCATTCAAAAAAAGTAAAAAAAAAAAAAATTAACTGATTAATAATAATGTTATATTATTGGAGGGGTTGTATTGACTGCTTCTGATTTTTTTAAACTCTAAAATGTTCTCCCTTTTAAAGGGGGGGGGGGTCAGCCCCCTCTTCCTCTTAAACAGTAGCATTCATACTTATATGTGAGCAGGGGTGGAAAGTAACGGATTACATTTACTCACGTTACTGTAATTGAGTACTTTTTATGAGTAAATTGTAATTTTCTGAGTAGATTTTGAAATATGTAATTTTTACTTTTACTCGAGTAAATTTTAACCTAAGTAGTTTTACTTCGCTACATTTAAAACCCACGTAAAAAAAAGAATAAAATACTGATGGTGAAAAAATTAAATGCGGCCAGAAATTTAAACCCCTGCGTCACGGAACCGACACATAATCACCATAAAAAAATAGAAGAAGACTTTCGACTTTTAACAGCACTTTATTTACACAATTCAAACATATAAGCAATTGATGTAAAAACAAGTGTCAGTTAAAAATCACTATTAAAGTGAAACATGTATCAGTTAAAAATCACTATTAAAGTAAAACAAGTGTCAAATAAAAATCACTATTAAAGTAAAAAAGTGTCAGTTAAAAATCACTATTAAAGTGAAACATGTATCAGTTAAAAATCACTATTAAAGTAAAACAAGTGTCAAATAAAAA